TTGTCTCGTCTGCTTCCGACAAAATTTCACCGCCCCCACGAGACTTTACTTTGAATGAACCGCACAGTCGTCCCGCCCCTCACCCGCATTTCACCAGTCTGAGCAGGGGCTCTCATCTCACTGCGCCTGCCACAGAGGCATCTTCATCATGCACTTCGACACCGGTGACGGCAGTGGGCCGTCCCGCCAAGACGAAGATAACTATTGGCAGACCCTGCTGCTATCTCACGAGGCTGAAGATGAACAGCATAACAGTAACTTCATGGCCAAGTCTGAGCCTCTTCGCATGCGCCTAGCCGCCCTGACCATGGAAAAGAGGGATCTTGGGAGGCGCATGTTGGAGGTGAACCAGGCCATCAAGAGAGAGCACGGCGGGTTGGAGGAACTCACCATGACCTTCCAAGAGGACCGTCAGAAGCTGCAAACGGATCGAGAAGCCAGAGTTCAACATATGCAGGCCTATTTCGCACAACACCGCCAAAGAGAGGACGAGAATCGTGCTAGGATCGCCGCTGCCGCCCTTGCTGCTCCCCGGCGCGATTCCGAGACCGTACGCCTTGCACACACGAGCGACGTCATGAACGGCACCAAACCCAATGGTGTCAACGGAGTGACCACTAATGGAGACCACCTCCTCAGCAATAACGGCCTGCCACCTTCCGCCAACCCACCAGACCAGCCGGTGACTATGATCATGGACGCTTCGGGCCAGCGTATCGGACCTGTTCACCGCATTCCCGTTCATGGAGCCGCGGGCGCCCTTCTCGACAAGAGCCCCAAGCGAGCGGTGCAGCTGCGTCCTGGTGTTATGTTCACGGAGCAGGATCTGAGGCGAATCCATGAGGACAAGGATCTCTGGACCGCCGTTATGATCCAGGCCATTGGGGACCAGCAAACGGACGGAAGGCGATGCGCCGTATGCGTCCAAGGCGGAGGCCCCTTTTCAGATTGCACCATCGTGCAAGGGCTTGGATCTTGCGCTAATTCTTACTGGGAGAGACGCAAGCAGGCTGATGGTCAAGCTGTAGACCAGGCACCTCCGACCGCACAGCACGCCAAAGTCATCAGCACCCGAGATGAGAGCTTCAACGGCACGGCCACACCCATGTCCAGTCGACCTGTTTCTAGGGACAAGAGCACCGGCGAGGGATCGACCATCGCAGATGATACGGAGGAAGACCACACACCAATCACCCGAGCCAATCTCGTCCTCAAGCACGATGGCAAGGTGTACACGCACCCTGAGTGTATGGAAGGCGTGCCTATCGAGAGGATTGACCCCAGCCACCCATACTGGGACCAGTCGTGGCCTGAGATACCGCCCCTGATCCAAGCTAGTCTCGAGAGTTGGCAGGTGAAGTTGGACAACGCCTTACGAACCGGCCAGAAGGGCATGAAATTCCAGTTAGGCCGACAGGTTAACAGGGGCGGCACCATCATGAGCTTCCTGAAGGACGGAGAAATCAGCCCGTACCAGCTTTTGTCCAAGAAGTATGTCACGACCAAGCTGGTGAACTACGACACTCTGTTTCGCCTGGCCGACACCTTGAAGTGCTTGGAAACATTCGGAACACTCGACATCACTCCGCTGGAGTGGCTTCGCCAGCGCCTGCATGAGATCCTCACGGAGAGCGGCTCTGATTTCAGCTTGTCCAAGACCATCCACGACTTTTACCACGATCGCAAGTACGATGACTTGCGAAAGGCGAACGGCAAGAAGAGCATCGGCAGACCGTCGGGCATGAAAATGACGCCTAGAGACTCCCCGAATTCGGCCAAGGCCACTCCAAACGCCAAGAAACGCAAAATGTTCATCAGCGAGGAATTCCCCGGCCCGTCGCCACAGCGGCCTCTCGCGCCGACGCCTACACCCCAAAACACACAGCCGATAATCAAGAACGACGAATCGGAGCGTAGCGCGCCGCCGACGCCGGATCTTGCGAGGAAGAAACTGAAGGCTGGAAGAGTTCAGGGCAACCCCAAGGATCCGGATCTCGCCTACGAGGGCTTCACCGATGTTGACGAATTCAGTAGTGACAGAATTGGTAAACACGACTGGGCCCTCAACCGCATCAAGTCTCGTCTGAACACCGTTGGTACTGGTGTAACGCAGTACTGGCACTGGATTCCTGACGATGGCGAGCTCGTTTTTGAGCACCAGGTCCTTGCCGAGGGCGAATCTGCCACATGGGGCATCTACGCCAAGCCGATCAACTTCCATTTGGAGCTCGAAACCATGCAAGAGATCATGTGGGCTGCCGATACCGTGAAGGTCCTGATACGGTGCAAGCCCGGCGTCGTGGTTTCGGCGGACGGCAAGCCACGAGGTGACCTTCTCGTCGAGTTCAAGCGGCAACGTACCAAGAAGCGGTTTTTGGCCTTCTGCCGCAAGAAGGGGATTCCGCAAGTGAAGATTGATGCGTACGTAAATGCTATGCCATAATTGATAATGAACATGGCTAACGCTTCACAGTTCTATTATTGAGCAGGCTTGGGACGCATACGAGTCGCCCGATGTACCGGCAATGGCGGATTCGGAGATTGAGTAATGGTCTGTTGCACAGATCGGAGTGGTTGTCATTTTGCGATGAAAATGGTGGAGATACCCTTGGTTCTGGTCTCATGAGCTCGGAGAAGCTCGGTTTACTGGCGTTTTTTTGGTGGAAAATGGGCAAAGTCTGGGAAGATTTAGTCGGTTTGTCGCAAGCTACAGACTTTTATTTCGGGGTGACTTGCGCAGGCGACCGCAAGCATCGCAGAAAAGGCGGTTTGCTGAGTTAATGAAGTTGAGTGGCACGCCCCAGGAGCAGCTTGGTCGCGCAGGCAGTCGGGATGTCTGGCTGCCTAGAACGTCTAGTTGGGTTTTCCATCGTTTAGGAGATTCAGGTGGCAGAACTCAGATCTCTAGACTGATGGATGAAGGGGTAGTTAGGTAGCCAGGCCGAGGGCCATCACAATAGAGAAGTATCTGCGGGGACGGGTGCCCATCGCTTTGTCGCAGTTTGGTTTCCGCCGAAATTACCAAGGCTAGGCTTTTTGCCCTGACGCACGCAGTAAGGCAACCCTCCCGCTTCCCTCCTTCCAACACATATGTGGCAGCCCTGACAAGCAAGTGTCGATCTCGTGTTTTGAACCGCTCTTGGCATCTGAACGAGGCGGGAGCTTATCCGGAAGTGATGGAGGTGGAGGCCGGGAGGACGCATTGGCGGCCCCCACCTCCGCTCCGACCGGACATCCACTCTTGTTCCGTGACCTGGGCCATCCTGGCAAGGTCCAAGGACGGCACGGATTAAGGATTCCGAGCTTATTCATGATTTTGTCGTCGAGAGATACGGGTTTGGCTGGCCGTTACTGTCTTGACGTTCATCTTAGAGCATATCTATTGATGGTTGGTAGATGCAAGTAAGGTTGGCCATCCGTTTGTTTGGTGAAGGATCTGAGATCATGTCCAGTTCTGGATATTGGTTCGGGAGGATGCATGTGTCAGTGGAGATGTCATCACAGAAACAGCCACGCATGGTTCGGTCTTGCCGACGGGGCTGAAGTCACCCCTTTCACGGCTCGATGGGACGCATCTTCCTGGTGATTCCTGGCGTTGCGGGAAGCCGCATCTCGCTTCATCACCGCCAGCCTTGTCTGGATGGTAGGGGGAGAGACAGGGCAAGATCGAGCTCTTGGCTCGAATCACCCAACACCCCTCGCACCCCCGCGAAAATTCGTCCCCTGAACTTTCATTCTTTCTTTTCCCTCTTCTCTCGTCAGGCCTGGTGCCTCCGACGCGCTGAGGGTAGACCCTCGGTCGTCTCTGTACTTTCATTTTTTTTTGTATCGCCGACACCTCATGGCTTTCTCTAAACAGGCGGCTTCTCAGATGACGATATCTTCTTACGTTTGACACCCTCGTTCCTCTACATATCGCTTCCGGTTTATTCAACGCGGTGGCTTTCTTCCCCATCATTATGTCGGCCTATGAATCGGCCTTATCTCGTCAGTCCTGGAGTTGAGGCTGCGGTGATGTCAAGCTACCTCCACACTGCGTGCTTTGTTGTCTCCGTCCAGCTGCAACTTTCCCCACTCGTTGTCGCCTCCCCGGGCCCAACCATAGTTAGGGCAGGAACTAGGCGCCGGAAGGGCAGAGGATTGACGATGCTGATTTTGGTCATCGTGGGCTGGGTCTATCTCCGGTGGGATTTGAAGCAGATGTGGTGTGTATCACCGCTCTCCTCGCCGGGCGCCTACCAGTCTCCGCGTCGTTCCGCGAAGATGCCTAGTACTGTAAGCCACTTCCTCCTATCATGTCACACTCAGGCTAATTCGTCTCAGGCATAATGCAGCCGACGAGCAAGTCGTCTCATCACATGCTACGCCCGCCAACCCTTGTAAATACGTCCCATCTTGCCGTTCTTGGGAAGTTCTCTGACTCGATTTTCTCGCAGGAACGAGCTGCGGCGGTCTGATGAGCACCCACTAGTACGTTCACAGGCAGCGGTGGGTCGTCAAGCTCCCGTACGTCGCCTCAGACTTCGCATTCGCCTGACTTTGCGCGGCAGCGGCCCACTCCCCAAAGATGGGGGTTCTGAGCACGAGCTGAACAGTGGAATGATGGCCTCGGGAGACAAGCACGGTCATATGCCGTCTCATTGATGCGAAGGTCCATGCCATCTTCCTGGGCTCTGTCGGCGATAGAAGGCGGGAACGATTTCCGTCGGTTCGTCGCCGAACGGGAATTGAGAGACATGTAGTCTCTCAATGCTGATGACAGCATGGTTGTGTCTTTGGCGGTGGTCTTATTGCCCATCGAGTACAATGGGCCTCGGCGCGGAACCACATGCCGACACCATTACACTGGGTCGGCGTTACATGGATCACTTTGTACCGCCTGGTGCAACAGGTCGTCAACTTGATGAACGAGGTTGCGCAGATAGGTCGCGGGCACTCTTGGGTCATCCAGACAATGCTTCAGAGATCGTTCCGTTACACCACCCAAGACATCGACAGACATGCAGACATCCACAAACCTGCATGTAGTTTCTGGTGGGCGGATAACAATTTCCCCTTCTGCGTGTGAGTATGCTTGAGATAGCCCAGACTTTCCCGTATCTAGAAAGAAAGCCTCGCTGACATTTGGATTGCTCATAGACTGTCCTGTGGCGCCCTTTGCCTCGGGTACTCCATCCCGTTACATGATTAGGGAGCACATCAGAGAGCTCAAAGATCCCCACGCGATGGCTTGTGTGGGCGGCTTCGTGTACCTGATGAGCAGGGATTGATTGACTTCGGGCCTTTCGATGCGGCTGAGTGGCCATGAATCCCAACACATCGGCGCCAGGACACGATTGCTTTGCGATAGGAGCTGTGTTTGCCTGGTCGAGGGTTGTGTCTGTTTGACGTTCTTTCTTAGCCAGTGGAAGACTGCCGGCTGAGAAGGCAGATGACGCGAGGACGGGCCCCTCTGCGGTTGGCGACGACTAGATCATCTCGATGGAGAGCATCAGTTAACTCCTCTGCCCAAAGAGATGAGGAGCATTCATTCCCAGCATCTTCGCGGCTGGTCTCGTCTCTTCACAGCGTTCAGCTGCGGCTCAAGGACTTCGCTCTCGTTGGCGCGGAGGATCAGGTATCGAAGTGGCCTCTCGTCGCACACACTCAGACTGGTATCTCGTGCGGTCTGGATGCCACATTACGAGTCTTCAACATCCTGGAAAGACTGGACCCTCCGAAGGTTCCTGTTGCGTAAAGTGCGACGGCAGCTCCTTCGATGTCGACTACGCCAGCACCTTTTTGATGCAAAAGGTGTCAGGCGCAGAATACGACAACGGAGACAGCGCCGCCGTTTCGAGACTGGAATGCTGCGCAAGCCGCCTAGGTGCGAGATCTGGGCTAACTGCCCGTCGTCCCGCCGCGTCGGGATGAAGACGTGGGAGATGTCCCGGGAACCATCGCGACTGCAACACAGACGCCGAATACAAGTCCTGGATGGCGACGGAAACACGGACGTAGTTCCTTTGGGCTTGGAAGATGATGGATCTCACATCCTCCAAGCCCGGTTTTCTTCCTGCTGTTGGCTTTAGCGATGGCAACCCTTGTCTCCTTCATTTTAGACCTCCGAAGTCGGCCGAGAACTGGTACCTCCCTTGCCTGATCTGATAGAGGTCATTTAGAGGGCGCAAGTCACGGAAGGTGTCACAAGCATCATTCCAGGCACCGCAGTCTCACGCAAGGCGGATGGCAACAAATGTCTCCTCATCTGCGCTTCGGTATTTGGCCCTGGCGGGCAAGCGTTTGGTTCCGAACGAGAGTCTGACGGCACGTGGAATGGTCACACACTGAGTGCGAACGGCGCCTCTTGCGTTTTGCGGAATATTCGTTTGCTGCGATTCTATAATCCTCATGCACGAGCAAAAGCAAAGCTTGCGACGTGGGTTCTGGGGCGGCTCTGGCCCTGATGCAGATCCAGCGCCAATTCCGGCGGTAGTTGTAGCTCGCGGAGCACTTCCACTTCCATGATGATCGAGCAGATTATCTTGAGGTTGCCGCGAGCCCCCAAGTCTGTCACACTGCTGTCGCTTTGCGTCCAACAGTCAGAGAGCTCGAGACGAGCAGAAGCCGAAACAACCCACTCTACCACCAGTACCACCTCTCGTTGCGGTTCTTCATCATCATTCTGTTATGCTATCCGTCAAGCTCGATAGGTCGACCAAAAGCTCTTTGCCACCTCTTCGGATTACTTTGGCGCCATCGTTCCCATGTTATAACATCGAGCTCTGGCGCCTCAGCTATCGCCAGTCGACACAACGAAGACTAGCCGGCCCACCAGAAATATCGCCCACTTCATCGTCAACTACTATCAACGAGTCTTTAGCAGGAACTAATTCACCACATCAATGTCTCGCTGCTGCTTATACTCGCGCAGGCGCAGCCATGATGCCCTATTGCTCACGAATGGCTAGCCTAGGTACTGGATATCGTACCACAACCGGCATGACCAGCAGACCAGCATGGACAACCGGAACATAGAGGTCGTCAAGACTCTCTGCAAATGGCCTGGGCTGCTCAAAGTGCGGAGCTCTTGCTTTGCTCTTGGTTGCCCCCGCCATTACCGACTTGCTCATCAAGACCGCCTCTTTCTCGAAGACAAGGGTCAAGTATGAAGGTTGTCGCAGGCACCAGCCAACCAATATTTCAACTCGTTGTGGTTGACCTTGGTACCACCTTCATTCGCGACTTTTCGTTTGGTAAGGAAGATATTGTCGCCCAGATTGTACCCGGACAGGCTCGGACTTTTCGCCCTGTCGTGCAGATTGAGAAGTGAAGATGGAAGGCGAAGAGGACTCGAGAAGACAACAACAAAAACACCAAATACCACGGATTCCCAGAGAACTCCAACGCGCTTGTGGATATTATGTGCTGCCAGCAGGCAGCCTTGCTAGATCGCCCCGGGCCCTCGAAGTTCATAAGATGAATTCGCCTTAGTGGGCAACAAGCAAGATGGGAATCATCATCGCTCATCACCAGAGCACTATGCAGCGGGGCAGCCCAGACATTCCTGTCGTTCGCTCAAGCTACCATCTGTGTGTCTCGTCGTCAGTCTCTCAGGATGGTTGTATCATTGGTTTCGGCACGTAGCCGCGGCTGCGATCCAGTGTACAGCGAAGAGATTCTGATTTCGCCGTGTGCTACCACATATGAGGGCCTACCGCCCTGTTGCCGCCTCGACAGTTCGGCCTCGACAGTTCAATCTCGATGCAACCGTCGAGCCCCGTTCGCACTGGCGGGCATGTTCTTGTAGGCGAGGCGTATCGCAATACGCGTGCGAATTGCGGAGCGTATTCGACGCGGCCATCGATTTCGGCGACAAGGCAATTGAGTACAGCCAGAGGCAGCAGGTGAAGCTGAAGTGGTGGCAAGTTGGGTAGATCGGCAGCGATAAGAAAGGTGGTGCTGGCCGCGACGTTGAGGCTGTGAAGTTGAAGTCGCTCGCATGGACGTAGGAGGTCATGTCACCGAGTTCTCTTCCTCTCCCTCAGCAGACCATCTCTCGCAATACCTTAGGAGGCCCTGCAGACCATACTCCACCAGCCGGTCAGCAGAAAGTCCGGACCCAGAGCCTTACGCAAGACTGTGACGCATCGGCGGAATAGCTTCTGGTGCTGCTACGTCAGTTGCGCAAGTACGCCGCAAGACCATATGCGGTACAAGAGGTGGAACACATGCCTCGATGGGGCTGAGAAGATGTTCATTGTGGCGGCAACTGCTGGTGGCAATGCACTTGGGGGTATCCACTTCAACAAGGAGCTGATGACCCTCGTTCTGAACAAGGTCAGCTGGGCAGACCCAGATCCAGGCCTTACAACCGAAATTTACGACCTAGCACTGGTAGCTTTTGAGTTCATACTCCTGCTCTGCTGGTATATATGGCATCAACACCGAAAGGCTTTGGTCTACGCGCTATATTTCAGGATTTGGAACCGTCTAGAGAACCGTGCCTCGAATCGCGATTTAACATTTGTGGCTTTGCGTACTTACGGTACTTCTGACAGCCATGGTCAGAGCAAGGCGTTCAACAAGCTAGGCATCGCCAAGGTCTTTGAGTGGAAAGAGCCCGAAAGGAACATCACCCATCAGAAGGGCCCGAAGCTTGACGTGATGAACGGGAAATTCAAATACGATCTCGGCCCCGCGAATGTCTGTCCGATCTCGTAGGTGCCAGGCAACGTCATCCACATCCCGGAAGTTGAGCAGGACACGTGAGAAAACGCAGCTTTGCATAATGGTCTCCTCGCCATCACATCCGGAAGTCGAGAGCTCTATTGAGTTCGGCTTCGTGAAGAATATTCATTTACTCTTTCAGCACAAGCCCCGGGCCCTAATCAGCAGCAGTTCACTGCTTACCGGTTATGATGAGTGGGCCACCTTCTTACCCGATAATACGGGGGGATGAGAAGGCGAAGATCAACGCAGCTCAGTTATACATTGAAGCCCCGATGCGGCGATTCGAAATTGAGCCGAGTCAGCAAGTCAGACAAGCGTCAGCGATAAGCTGAAGTGTTTGACTCTCACACTTGGGATATGTTCGCTGCAATCAAACAGGTGACCGCGGCAACAAGTATGTCGATTGCTGCCCGTCGCTTCCCGCGTCAGCTTGCTTGGATTACTGGAATTCCCGTTCGAGCGAACATCAACACGAATGGATGCAAAATAATCGCGTTCAACCTGTTGCTGCGCTCAGCATGTCAGTCTCCACCATTTCAGGCCCCGAGAAGGTCTTTGAGATCACGATGAAGCAGGCAATGAGCACCTACAAAAATGCCGCTGAACAAGAGACTCCTAGCTAACAGACAGCTCTTCCCTTCGAAGGTTCAAGTTGGGGAGGCGAAGGCCCACCTGCTGAAGGGCGGTGACAAGGCGGTCCATCACGCCAATTCCACATTGGCACAGACCCTAATCAGATTTACACTGAAGACTTGACGCCTTTGAAGAAGACTCAGGCCCGCTCACCTTTCGGTGTGGAGTACGACCTTCCACTCGATGCCGAGCCCGCTGACAACCTCTCCATGCTGTACTCTTTTCTCCCTGCCTATCGCCAGTCATGGTTTTCTGTGTTTCCCGGCGAGATATATCGTCCGGATGTGGAGAGCGCGCCGGGTACCCAAATATTTGCTCGCAGGAGAGAGGGTGGTACGAACGCAACCATGCCAGATCCCTCTTCGCCGTTGTACGGATAATGATTCGCATCTTATTCCTCTCTCCAACCCCTAACGGATGAGTGCGTACTCAGCGTTTTCCTGCGTCTTGCCAATCCATTGGATCTATAAAAGAAGGATGTATTGCAGTGTCGGTCGCTTTCGCCGCCTCCACAGCGAAAACTTCGTTACCCGCACATCACCAGCAGTAACAATATGATTATTTGCTGCCGACGTTATGGCCTATCCAGCTAGCTGGTCCTGTCAGACTAACAGTTGGATCTATGAAGGAAGCACTCATCGACTCAGGGACCATCAATTGGTTCGCAATACTTCTCAGACGCCTGTTACTGATGTCTAGTATTACATCTGGCCCCATGGGGCTGGTTCTTTCACTGAACCTGCCTCGACACCCTTCAGTATTTGCAGTAGCTACATGGTGCATACCACCGCAGGCCCTGACCCGTCTCGATGAACATCTGTCCGCCGGACAACACCAACAAAAGTAATCTGGTAAAGGAGCATCAAAGCCAAGTTGCGCCGACCATTTCTACTTACTTCCGACTCCATCAAGACCCTGCAATTCA